TGTTTCACCTCACGACTGGACTCCGAAAAAGGAAGTTGATGACTCTTCCCCTGCTGACAAGCATCACACACTGCTACATCTTTATTACTAGACAAACTAGGAAGCTCATGACGACGCAAAACATGACGGACAATAGGTGTGGCCGGGTGACCAAGACGAGCATGCCACTGTGACGGAGAGACCCGAACTCCACTGAAAACGCGAGCGACGCCAGGATGCTCCAGACGGTAGAGACCCTGGCACAACCGCCCACTAAGAAGAATGTCCCTCGTGCCCCGATCCTTAATAAAAAGATCAAAAGGGTGAAATTCACAAAGCACATTATTATCACGTGTGAGTTTAGGAACTGAAAGAAGATTGCGGGTCACAGATGGAACGCGAAGAACATTGCGAAGCTGAAGACTCCTATTGGCATGTCTAGTGAGAAGAGATGCTTGACCAATATGAGAGATGTGCATACCTGCTCCACTGGCGGTGTGGATCTTGTCGGAGCCATGATAGGGTTCACGAGTGTGAAGCTTCCCCATCTCGCTGGTCAGATGCTCTGTCGCCCCAGAGTCCATGTACCAGTGTGGATCGATGGAGTAGGACTGAGTGTGTCCCTGGTGCTTCTGCGGCGCGGGACGAGCAGCCATGGCGACCTGACGGGCATTGTTGCGTGTATCTTTGCCGTCATTGCCAAGACCAAGGAAGCTTCGCTGGAAGCGCTTATGACACTTGGAGGCCCAGTGCCCATCGCGGCCACAAAGCTGACACACACGTGGACCGCCAGCCCCCGGTAAGGTCGCAGTAGGTGGGGGGGCCGAGGCGGGCGACGGTGGCAGCCCCAAGGGAGACCGGGGTGATGAAGAAGAGCGGCCACCCTTGGTGGCGACGTTGGCCGAGAGAGAGCCAGTGCCCCTGGTGCGGCGAGTCTCGACCCGTTGCTCAGTGAGAAGAAGCCGAGAGAAAACCTCGTGTGCCAACATGGGTGTCGAGTTACCCCGCTCGTTGATGATCTCGACTAAGGCATCATACTCCTCATCAAGACCATTGACAATAAACGAGTTGAACTCGGAGTCGGTGAGGGGTTGTCCAATGGAGGCCAATGTGTCGGCAAGGCCCTTGACCTTGTTGTAGAACTCAGTGGCCGTGGAGTCAAGCTTCTGACACTCTCCAAGCTGACGACGGAGTGCAGAGACACGAGCCTGGGACTGCGCTGCAAAGGTGCGCTCAAGGATGGTCCAGGCCTCATGAGACGTCTTCGCGAAGACAACAAGGCCGGCAACTGCCGGCGAGAGCGACCCCTGGATGGAGGAGAGGTTCGCCTGGTCCTGCCCCGTCCAGACGCGATGGGCCGGATTGTAGACCGGACCGTGCATGCTGTCTACCAGCGCGGGTGGGCAGGGAAGCGATCCGTCGACGTAGCCTAGCAGGTAGTGACTCCCCAAGAGCGGGAGAACCTGCGCACGCCAGAAGATGTAGTTGTCTGCGGAGAGCTTGATGGTGATGAGATGACCGAAGTGAAACGGCGGCGGCGAAGACGATCCCATCGAGGAGGCTGCCTGGGGTGCAAACACCATGGAGGCAGCCGGAGGCACCGAAGCCGATGCGGGAGGAGGCGGGACCGCAGCCAGGGCGGGCGCCGCAAAGCTCGCGGCCGGTGCGGACGCCGCAAGGCCCGCGGCCGGGGCGGACGCCGCCAACCCCGCCAGCGGGGCGGTGTGATCCGCTCGCGGCAGGAGCGGCGGGACGACGCCTGCGGAATCCGCAGCGGACGGCGGCGCCGCGGTGTGGACCACGAGGTCACGCCCGAGCGAGGGCGCCGGCGGCGTGGAGAAGACGGAGCCGATGCTCCTTGTCCCGATCGGAGCCGGAACGGAGACGGCATCGAGCGGGAGGTTGAGTAGAGCCGCAAGAGAGGCCGGGAGTAGAGCTCTGATACCATGTAAGACAATAAGTTTTGGGAACCAGCACAACCCTCTAGAGATGGCTTATCTCATTATATATAATGGTTGTGTTACAATACGTACATAGGTACAGAAGTTATACATAGTCTAACACTCTCCATCTCCGTAAACACAGTTGCAGTTTTGTCCGCCTTGGATCCAATCTGATCCATAACGAGAAGTGCATCACCACCAATGCGTCTGTTGCCGATGATATGAGGCAGCACGCCGGTGATCTTCCTCGTCTTCTATTCCCATATCTTATCACCACGGCGCATGCTTCCCGGGCACCAACCCTGCGTATCGTCACCATCTCCGTCGTGCCGCAAGCCTGGTGCACTCGAGATCGTCCGGCCGATTGCGTGGCGCATTAGCGAGCCTGACGTACTCCGGCGTGTACAGAATGGGGCTAGCACACGACGTCAATGATGTGGAGGTCGCATGCAACCTTCGCCACCTTGGGTCGTCATCAACATATCTAGGTAATTCATCTCCTCAACTACTTCACCATCAATTGGAATCTCGACTAATGGTGCATCCATGGTGCAGTGTCACTCCGTCCATGCCACTCCTTAGTTGACATCACTTTGATCTGGTGGAACACCTAGCGGTGGAAGGAAGCACGCCACCATTAGTAGGAAGCATGGCTAAATGAAGGGATACAAGTCGATAATTTGTAGGATACATATGATATGAGCTTAGGAAGCATTGTACTCCTCGTGACTTAAAGGAAGCAAAATTGTTGTATCTCTGAAAAATGTTATATGAACAAATAAAGCACAGATGCACAGCCACCCATGGGAAGGAAGCACGATCCTCGACTAATGGTGCATCCATGCAGTAGCTTCGCTCCGTCCATGTCTCTCCTTGTTGATGCAGTTTTGATCTGTATGGCGGTGGAAGAGAGCAGATCCACAATATGAAGGAAACACGGTCATCATCAAACGGTGCATCCATGTTGTAGAGACATGTGTGTGGGCGTTTATCACTTCGCTCACACGTCCGTTTCCTCGCCCACAATCAAAGCTGTCAGTTGCCATGCGTTTCTGCAGGGTACATGGCAACTGCCCTAGCTTTGCTTGTAAACAGATGATAACTCTCTTTTACCTGAGTTGCAATGTGTTTTTGCATGGTACTCCCTCCGTAATATTTGTCTTTCTAGAGATTTCAACAAGTGACTACATATGGAGCAAAATGAGTGAATCTACACTTTAAAATAAGTCTACATACATTTGTATGTTGTGTCCATTTGAAATGCCTAGAAAGACAAATATTTGAGAATGGAGGGAGTACATGGCAACCGCCCTAGCGTGCACGTAAGTAGATGGCAACTCTTTCTTTTACATGACAACTGCCCTAGCGTGCTTGTGAGCACATGGCAACTCTCTCTTTTACCCGAACGTGTTTTTTTGCCATGCCTTTTTTGTAGTGCTACATGGCAACTGCCTAGTATTAGTAGGTGGCAACTCCTAAAGTTTTGAAATCATGACAACTGCAGTAGACGAGACCATACATGGCAACTGCCTAGTGTTAGTAGGTGGCATGTCCTAAAGTTTTGAAATCATGGCAACTGCAGTAGACCAGAGCATACATGGCAATTATAGTTGAGCAACCATGGCAACTGTAGTTGTCCGACATGGCAACTATAGTTCAGCGACATGGTAACTGCAGTTAAACAGACATTGAAGAGGGTCCGAACCATGGCAACTGCGGGGACGCGTGGTGACTGTCACGTGGTGGCTGAGAGAGGTCGTGTGGGCGTTATCCATTTTGCCCACACGTAGGCGTGTGAGAGGGACCGCGAGAGAGAAAAAAATATGTGTTGACGCTAGTTGTTTTACCCACACGTAGGCGTGTGGGCTGGTACTTTTAGACACCATACAAAACGTGTGGCCAGATCCCTTAACGCCCATGCATATGGGCGTTATCGGCGTCCTTTTTTTAATATAAGGTCTGTGATCAACATGACCGGAGAGATTAATTAGCTTTCTTTAATTAAATAGTACTAGCCAGGACTAGGAGAGAGATGACATGTTGGAACAAGTAGTTGGATTTGAAGGAAATAAGAGATACTCACGCGTACATGTACGTGAGATGGGCTTGCGTGCCTGATTTTTTTTATGATAATATATGTCCCATTCATTTTATAAAGATCGAAATACAAGTCACGTAAAGTCTGACATGACAAAACTGAAAATATAGTAGCACATCTCTGAGCTTGACATCAACGTTCGTCATCTGCCTCCGGCATTACTACAGCAGCCCCCGAAAAAAAGAATGACGAATCACCTCCTCACCAAAGTGACTCACCAAAAGTAAAGACTTTGTCGTTGAACGAATCATACCGGGGTAATACCCCGAACACGCCATCGAACTTCATATCTAACACCCCACCACGTCTAAGACGTCACAGAAGGAAACCATACCTGTCATTCACGAATCACGAGCCCAACACACGTTCGTCTTTCAGATATCTTCCAGATGTACGTGAGGTGGGCCTGCATGCCTCGCCGTCCTCTTTTTGATGGCGGTTTGTATTTTGCCTTTATATATGCAGTATACGTGAGTATTACGAGGGAAGGTTATATTTTCAACAGGTTAAACAAGTATCGAATATTAAGCAGCCCTCTTGTTATTTATTTTGCGTGAATTTTCTGCAGTGAAAGTTGCACTTGGCTCCCGACAGGCTGCATGCTGGTTACATCTACTTCGAAGAGAAGCCGGAGGGATTGTCCGTTTGTCGTCGTCACCCCTGCTTCAGGTTGCACGTAATTAGAGTATTATTTTATCGGTGCATTGGAGAGTTTTGCATCGTAAAAGATTGGGGCAAAACATCAGAGCGTCCGAGGCCGCGCCCATATCATTATAAATCAGCACAGCGACTAGGCAAAGGTTCCAAGATCAAACAATGAAATAGCTATTAACAACATATGAATATGAATTGAAGTGTAAAAAAGAGCGCAATAAGATGGCATGGGTCTCACCTAGTTAAACTGTTTTCACAACATACAGAACAAATTGTTGCCCCGTTTACACAAGAGCCTCCTAACCAGGGCAGAGTTCGGGGTGGCCTCAGATTCTTGGCCTCACCCTACGGCCACTAGTGTCGCCACCGTCCGAGAGCTGTCCCCATACACTCTGGCTTTTCCCGCCACTACTGCACGGCTCCTCGCACCCAGCAACAGTTCTCAGTATCTCCGACTGAAGTGATGGGCAATTATCCTTGAGGTAATCAAACCCGTCAGTCCGGATCACAGCTGCAGAGACATAAGGGTATCTGGAATGTTATGGAGCTTTATAAACTTATTAACTGCGCCAAGAAAACAACCAAACTGTCAACACATGGTATATGAAGCATTAATTTCCAAGCTAGTAACAGATCTAAATTGCTGAAAAAGACTATGCTAGTTGATCTAATTGCATTATTCTTGGTTAGCAAACTACAGAGTCTAACATCTAAAGAAACTACTCCCTCCGATCCAAAATAAGTGTCACAGTTTTGAACTAGGTTAGTTCAAACTTAGTGCAAAACTGTGACGCTTATTATGGATCAGAGGGAGTACATTCCAGTGCATCATATTTAACAGCAACTCTACTAATCATGAAACTTGATAGTGCAACTAAGCAGCACAAACATATTTATACCTCAGAAAGCAAAGCAATACAACTATACCAATGAGAATCATCATCTACAATACAACATCGAGCTACTTATCTTCTACTTGCATGTCAAACAAATGTAACACCAGAAACTCAAAGCATGCACATATCACCTCTCACTGAAATTGTTTATAGCTTGTAATCGTTCCCCCCTCTTTTTGTTCATACTTTTACCACTCCCTAATAAAAACCCCCATCAGTGAGCACGGACCAGCATGGCACTATGCAAATCCACAAAATTATTACTTGAATGCCAGGCATGTTTTTCGACTAAACATGAATTCAAATATGAATGCTACTGTACAATGTGATGAATTAAGTTAGATTTGATGTAAAAGCTTCAGTACCTGAAAGATTTTCTGCAGCAAATTTTAGGCAAACGGCTTTAAGCTCCATGGCGTGGTGACTATCAGCCAATGCAAGAGTATTTGCAACCGAGGCCACAGAAATGCCTTTGCACAAGTAAGATTCACATAGAAATCTTAACCTTCCTAAGTCATACTTGTCTGCTGCGGCCAACAACTTTGCCGCCAAAGTATCAAAAATAGAGCCCATGGAGCTTGATGCATCCAACTCATAATCATCAACGAGGGTATCTCTGTAGATGAAATGAAGCATGGCCTGGACGGAGTATCCACATATAGTAAGTATACTTGCTCCCAGGTTATACTGGAAAACATTGATAACAAACAAAATAGAGACACACCTTGAAAACCTTGGGCTCTAGATCATCAATAACAATCTCTTTCAGATCCTCACTCTCATTAACCTCGTTCTTGTCTCCTTCTGATTCATCGCCAAAAAGTTTGGATCTAAATACAGTAGACCGTGCAGCCAACACCAACTTATGGGCATGAAACCTCTCTCCACTCACATTAAGAATAACATCAACCCCTTCATTACTGTCCAAAAGAGAACCGAAGTGGTAGCCAATATCAGAGTCTGGAACCTGAATGGAGTGTGGTCTGGAGTAATCAATAGTTGAAACCACAACACCCACAGTGCAGTTTATCCTCAAACAATCATCTTTAAGAAAGTCCGATGTCTCAAGGGCAGTTCGCCGAAAGAACCGTTTGTAACCCCTGAAATGAAGAATGAATATCACAACCCAGACTCCCAAGGCTGTTAAAGACTGGGGATCTAGATCATTTGGCACACTTTACAAGGGGTTTGATGATTTGCCCTAGATAGTGCAAATTATCAAATGAGGAAGTAAAGTGTGGGTTAAGATCTAATTTCTCATTAAAGACTTGTATTAACGAATTCACACCTAGACCTACAAATGGCATGGGTTAGTAGTTACATCATATCCAAGGTTCATATTTATATTTCGTATCAACAAAAAGGAAAACATAGGACACCAAAGTTTCCAGATACCACTGGCAAGCAGATTTAAAAGAAAAGAAAAAAAACAGTTTTTCCTAATTATAAGTTTGAACTTGGGAATGAAAATAACTGAAAAGCTACAACTATTGCAGTTGTGAAGATTAAAAAAAAGACCTGAGCCTCCCAACCCCAGTGACATACCACCATGAGAAGCACAGTTTGTGATATAATTTTAATCATTGTTTATATTTTTACTATGGCCAACATTTGGAACTCCTATGTTTTTTGCCTGAAATGCATATCTACAGGAGCTGGCAGCAAATCAAAAAGAATATGAATGGAAGTATTAATGGGCTTGAGAATCTGAGCTCATCATGCTATTGGCCTGAAGGCACTGTCGAACAAGAGCTATTGCTTTGTTTTTATTTCCAGAACATTTTGGTTACCAAACAGAAATCTCTGATTTCGTGGAAATGAAACTGGGGGTAACAGCTCTTTCATTTAAACCAAAGGTTACTTTGTGATGTCCTAAATTGATGGTACGGGCACACTTCAACATACAACTATTCAAATGAAGTGAAACTCAACAAAAAGAATAGGTGAATAAATACCATAACATGTTGTAAGGACACAAGTACTCAAGATTGACTATTAAAGCAGTTTGGTTCCATGGTATAAAGAAGGGTCCTTCCAAACAAATTGCCTTTCACACAATACAGTCCACCAAGGAATTACTCCAGTAACAGAAGATGTCGTCTTAAACACAACCAAATAAACATATTATAAATGGCAACAAATTCACCAACCAATAGATCTGTCAACGTATGTAAACCCAAGAATATCCAGTCAGCAACCTAATCAAGTGACATTATGCTTTACAATAAGCATGTAAAGGTAAAAGCATAAGTTTACTATTAGACTACAGCATTGCAGTGACAAAACTATAGTAATGGGCTAATGGCACTAGCACAAGAAGTTGGATTTACCTCTTATAAGATATAGAAGTTAAGGGATAAACCTTTTATGAAAGAGGATGTGTGTGCTACCATTCAGATTAGGAAAAAAGATGAACTAGTTCTTAAGCATCTCAAGTCTCTTCTTTCCAGCCAACTCTACCTCTTCATCCCCCTCTACCCTACGGGCAGTTCATCAATCGAAGCATTACAGTCAGCCTACCTTTTATAGTGTTTTCCACAATGTGTACTGTCATCGATGTGATCAACAGATGGGCATATCGCCACAGCAAAGCAACATATTACACCAGAAATTAGGAATGAAAAATCAAAATTGTAAAGCTACTGATGCATACCATACTCAACAGATCAAAACCAGATAGTTCAAACAGTAGCATGCCATTGGATTGAACTAATAGACATCAAGTAGCGGATAATCCTCGTGGCTGTACTAGAACACCAAAAATGGCTGCCTTGCTATCACCTAATAATCCTGATATCAGCTGAAGTTGAATAAGCATGACAACTACCCCAAAAATGCAAGCACTAGCATCAATCGAATCACAGGCTCAACCATCCTAGCTAAAGTTCCACAGACGCCAATTCAACGACAGTGTCATAGTTCATACCAGAACAAGTTCAACCAAAGCAGGAGGGTTATTCAGAGGCGCCTGCTTACCACATAGAGCCTCGGTACTTGAGGGTGTAGGGGCCAGACTCGAGCGAGCGATCGAAGTGGGAGTGGACCTTGTGCTTGCCCTTGCCGCTCTGGTCCTGCAGTGTGAGCTCAAAGAGAGCGCGGACGTCAGTGCCCTCGGAAGCGAGCGCGATGAAGACGGAAACGTAGGCCGAGTTGTCCTCGGGGTTCTTCCCGTCTGGGTAGAAGTAGATAGCCCACTGGTATCCCCCGACGGTGAAGGTCTCGCTCGCGATGTGCTTCCCGACGCCCATCCCCTTGGCGAGGGAGTAGCCCTGGATCACGAAGCGGTGGGAGCCGTTCACCGTCTCCGTCACGGAGCGCGAGCTGGTAGGGGACGCAGCCATGTCACGCGACGACGAGGCGCCTGTGGCAGCAGGGGGGACAGGTCCCGGCGGCGGCGAGGCGTCGCCGGCGTCGTCGTCCATGGGAATGCGATTGGCTAGGGTTAGGGTTGGGGCTAACAGGCCTGGATTGGGGAATTTTCGGCCGATTGGCCGTACGCGTGTCTGGTTTGGTTCTGCGCGTGGGGCGGCCGTGCCATCCACGGGTGAGACGTGGATCTAAGAATTCATTCCGGCTCGGTCGGTTTGGTCTTATCGAGCTTGCTCACTTAAGCGCACGTGCGTGCATTTGAACATCTCTAGTCCTCTAACTACTCCCTCCGTCCGGAAATACTCTTCGTCAAAATGGATAAAATGAGATGTATTTCCTCGTCAATATGAACAAAATGAGATGTATTTCCGGACGGAGGGAGTACTAGTAAGCGTGCACGTGCAACGCACAAATAACTGTATTAAAAAAATTCTCCTTTCGTAATTACTCCCTTCGTTTCATAATGTAAGACGTTTTTTGACTCTAGTGTAGTGTCAAAAAACGTCTTATATTATGAAAGAGAGAGTAACAAATAAACACTTTTTTAGAGAAAAATATCAATCTTATGTGTATGTCACACATCAAAAGCAATCAATCGGATGAGTTTGAATAGTAACCATGCATGTGCCTTGGTGGGAAGAGATTTCTTATTCATTCTTGTTATGAAGCAATTTTCTCAAGAGTTAATAGAGCAGAAAACCCGTATTAGTACTGTCACTATGAAAATATGTGCGCACTAAGTTTCCTGATATCTAATGTCATGGATCCGACCACTTGCGACTTAAATGAAAAACAAATGTTCCCAGAAGCAAAAAAATATCAAGACACATAGCATGGCAGTGCACCAACCAAATAAATCAACTGCCTGACAAAATGTGAAGAATAGGGTACAAGAACTACCGTATGAGCCATTGGAGCAGTGGTTTTGAAAAGGACAACTCAAATAAAAGAAAATAAGGGTACATACTTGGAATGGATACGGCGCGGTAACAAAAACATCAATAATACATTTAATTTCAGCCCCATACAGTGAGGGAAATTCCCTGCTTGCTAGAGAACCAATCTTTCAAACCACTTAAGTAATGGATTTTATATTTTAGTGTGCAAGGTCAAAGAGTTTTATGAGCGCCATAAAAATTTCAATGGCATTGCAATAACATTACCAGATTATATTGGTCTTGCAGACTTCGAACAGATTCAGAAACCACTTTACTAATTCAAATGGAAGGGGAGAAATGCATGATGGGGATGAAGTTCTTGAGCAGGATGGCACATAACAAATACACCACATTTTTTGTATGCATCAAACCTGACACTCACAAGTCATAAAATACCACTGCAGTCAGAATTCTCAAATGTAATAAAACTGTGTTGAGAATATATTTTTTGGTAAATCTAACTATGGTGTTTCAGTTGTATCAGTACAATTATATAGCTGGTGAAGGAAATATAATATCTTAAATTTGAAGCTGCAAAATAGAGTATCATGATTGCCATGAGATCCGATCATGAAAGGTCAATTATCATTATCTTTTCATATGTACTAAGTGGTACTCAAGGTATGGGGTCACTGTGATAGCTCACCTAAAATAATTACATTAAATAGTTGCAAGCTAACAATTTTACAACATCTTAAATAATTCAGTTAAACATTTACATGCAAAAGAGTTTCAACCCTTCACACTTAATCTTGTTTTACTGGCAGAGTTGGTACTTGTAGGACCTTAAGAAGAGGTGTCTAGAGGGGGGGTGATTAGAAACTAAGTATCAAAGTTGCAGTTTTTAACTACTTTAAGTTTAAGAGGAGTTTAGGCACAAGTTTAACATTCACAATACATAACAAGCAAGCATGCAAAGAGTATATGAGCAGCGGAAAGTAAAGCATGCAACTTGCAAGAATGTAAAGGGAAGAGTTTTGGAGGATTCAAACGCAATTGGAGACATGGATGTTTTTGTCGTGGTTCCGATAGGTGGTGCTATCGTACATCCACGTTGATGGAGACTTTAACCCACGAAGGGTAACGGTTGCGCGAGTCCACGGAGGGCTCCACCCGCGAAGGATTCACGAAAAAGCAACCTTGTCTATCACACCATGGCCGTCGCCCATGAAGGACTTGCCTCACTAGCGGTAGATCTTCACGAAATAGGCGATCTCCTTGCCCTTACAAACTCCATGGTTCAACTCCACAAACTTGTCGGAGGCTCCCAAGTGACACCTAGCCAATCTAAGAGACACCACTCTCTAAGAAGTAACAAATGGTGCGTTGATGATGAACTCCTTGCTCTTGTGCTTCAAATGATAGTCTCCCCAACACTCAACTCTCTCTCATAGGATTTGGATCTGGTGGAAAAAAGATTTGAGTGGAAAGCAACTTGGGGAAGGCTAGAGATCAAGATTTATATGGTAGGAATGGAATATCTTGGCCTCAACACATGAGTAGGTAGTTCTCTCTCAGAAAATGTATGCTGGAAGTGTAGGCACGTTCTGATGGCTCTCTCCATGAATGAAGAGGAGGTGGAGGGGTATATATAGCCTCCACACAAAATCTAACTGTTACACACAATTTACCAAACTCGGTGGGACCGAATCAACAAACTTGGTCGGACCGATTTAGCAAATCTAGTGACCATTAGGATTTTCAGTGGGACCGACATGCAACTCGGTAGGACCGATATGGTTAGGGTTAGGGCATAACGTAATCTCGGTGAGACCGATTACACAAACTCGGTGAGACCGATTTTGATAATTAGCTAACCAGAGAGTTGGTCAGGCAAACTCAGTGGGACCGATTACTCAAACTCGGTGGGACCGATTTTGGTAATAAGTTGTAACGCCCCGGATACAACTTTCCATATTCATAACTCCAACTCTTGCCTTTTCCGGAGATGCGATATGTTATTTCCTCCGTGGTTGGGTTTTGTCTGTTGTTTTGCATTTTGTTCTTGTTATGCATCTCATCTCATAGCATCATGCGCATTGCATCGGTATCGTTTTCTTAAAGCTTGCATTCGTTCGTCATTGTCGTTTCTCCCTTTTGCCTTCATCACCTTCCCTCGGATCGCCTTGCCCGCGCTGACCGTTCCAGACCAATCGGGTTTTCGCTTCCCTCTTGACCGTGACCACCTAACCTCTCTACAACCACCGACCCCCTCTTCTGTGCGTCCGAAAAACTTGCCCGAACCCGAACCGGTCTGTCCTTACCGATGGATCCGGATCATCTCCTAACGTCTATAATACACCTCTGTTCCCCTAACGTCTATAATACATCTCTGTTTTCTTATTTGGACTTCCCTAGCCTATTTTTCCGTCTGCCCGATCTAAACCGGAGGGTCGAGATAGCCCCTAGCCTAACCCATCCGCTATATATACTAGTCTAAACCGAGACCAAATCCCTAATTTCTAGGGATCCTCCCAGCCACCTACCTTCCTTCTCTCCCCCGGGATCCTCCCGATCCAATCCACCAACCAGCGCTCCCCCCATGTCCCTCCTCGATCCCCATCACTCGCAGCCACCCTCAAATCCATCCGGTCACCGGGACGCTCGTCGGCGCAGCGCCTCCAGCAGATGAGCCCCCGTCGCGCCCTG